AAGTTTGTGCGATGATTAAGAAAGAAGAAGGCTCAAAGAAGCTGTTCAAAGGGACAAGTGAAATTGCTCACTACCGAAAGGGTAATGTTTCCAACAAACTCAATAAACATATTGTTTGTGAGCACTGCAACAAGGCTGGGTATACAAAGGACAAGTGCTGGATCCTTCATCCTCACCTCAAACCATCAAAGTTCAAGGAAAACACTCCTCATGGTAATCCTACAAAAGAATCAGCTATGGCGGCGGTAACCTCCGAATTTGTCACTAAGGCAGACTTCAACAAACTCCTACAACTGCTCAAAGAGCAAAAAGACTCAGGTATGGCTTTCCTTGGACACCGTGGTACTAAGGATCTGATTATTGACTCAGGAGCAACAAACAATATAATATGTGACAAAAGATTGCTTCACAATATGACACATCTAGATGGAGATATCACTGTAGCAAATGGTGTGAAAGTTCAGATTAAAGGACAAGGAACTATGATGCTATTTAACCGAGAAATTAGTGCTCTATATGTTCCAGATTTCACTACTAATCTTCTTTCCACTGCACGTGTATGTAGTGATCTCCAATGTTCTGTAATATTTCGCACTAATGATGTTATTTTTCAGGATACTAAGACATCTCATGAAATTGGGAGAGGTATCGCTCGGAACAATCTATATTTCATCCAGCCTCACTCTATTTCAAATGTTTGTTTTAGTTCCATATGGAATGCTAGGCTAGGCTATCCTCATGAAAAAGCTTTCTCTCTTTTGTTTCGTCATATCCAGTTTGATCATTCTCGATGTGAAGCATGTATCCTTGGAAAACATTGTCGAACTGTTTTTCCTAAATCAACCACTACATATGAGAATTGTTTTGATCTCATTCATTCTGATGTATGGTCATCCCCAACTGTTTCACGTGATGGGCATAAGTACTTTGTTACTTTTATAGATGAAAAATCTAAGTATACATGGATTACTCTTATGCCATCTAAGAGTCACGTTTTTGAAACATTCAAGAAGTTTCATAAGTATGTT